CCCCCCCCCCCCGGGAAAAAAATTTCTGAAAGAAACACTGGTCATGACTTGCGCGGACACGCGCCCCACCCCCACACTGCATTTTTAGAATTCAAAACTATTGTGACGTAATGATGAGATCACATGAAATCAAGCAACTTTTAAAAACAAAGATTTTCTTATCAATCCTTTATAAAATGTGACACCGAGCAACGAGCGGCGCGGCTGCACATTTGACATAACGTGAATGCAAGTGACACACTTTATAAGAATCTCATTTAGTGCTACCCCTCCAAAGGCTCACATCCGCACACTTTTTACACGGCCCTGACCTATATTAATATTCCAGCGACACACTGGCTTTTAAACGGCAGATTTATTACACCAGCTATTTGAGAAAAGCAAAAGAAAGTACTCCACACCAAACGCCTTTGGGATATAAATATCTTGTTGAAGAATCTCATTTAGCCCAGTTATCGGGAATTTTCCTTCATGTTCCCCTTAAAAAACAGGAAAAACTTATTTTTGGGGGTTGGGGGTGGGGCGTGGTTATCGGCAACGAGTCTATGTGCCATGTTTAAGCTAAAAAGCTTGACGGGAAGTCGGCCAGTTAGCCGTCCGAAGATTTTGCCACCAAGCCAGCCAGCCACAAACAAAAGCGAACTTAATGTAAAGGATTTTAAAAATAGCAATTATCTTTCACTACAGTTAAAAGAGTTCACATATATTTTTGTTTATATTTATGAATATGAATATTTAAATGTTACACATAAGCTAATCAGTATATACTTCAATGTTCCTTTGTAAATTTCGGGGCCCCTGTATAGATGCTGTTCTCTTCTCAATATACATTAATTGCTACATTGGGGGGGGTGGGGTGGGGTGGGGGGTTGTTCTTTATAACTTGTGAATGTGTTTTATCTGTCTCTTACAAATATTTATTTTTAATGCAGAATGGGCAGAGAATATTAAATTGGGATTGAAATCCGATAAGTCAAAATGATAAGTGTCAGTGAAATCCCCCCCCCCCCCTCTCCTATCCCTTCCCATATTTCCACAGAACAGGAACCGCTGGCCGGGACGTCCATTTCTCTATCTGCGCTTTCGGAGAAGGGATCGAACTCGAAATATCAATCGATGTAATCTCCCTTTGGCCCATTTCACTTCCTCCATTGACTTGTGTTATGAGCCTTGTTTGTCTTGATGATTCCGTAGAGGAATGAGAAGGCCGGTAAGGGGGGTTGTGGATTCGATTATTATGTACATGAGAGGAGGTGAAGGTCGGTGATAAGACGGAATAACCAAAAAGAACACCATGTGTTAAAAAAAAAAAAAAAACTTGTGTAAAGAGAAAGCCATGCCGGATTGTTTTCTTGTGCGGGAGATGGGGGGTTGTGGATTCGATTATTATGTACAAGAGAGGAGGTGAAGGTCGGTGATAAGACGGAAAAACCAAAAAGAACACCATGTGTTAAAAAAAAAAAAAAAAACTTGTGTAAAGAGAAAGCCATGCCGGATTGTTTTCTTGTGCGGGAGAAGGACAAGTGCCTTGAAGCGTCAAGTGAAACATTCATTTGAAATGTTGAAATGTGAGGACAATAGGCCCACCATATTGTCATGGTTGACATCCGGAGTAAAGTCTGCGCCATCAACAATGCGCACTGAGAGCAAAGTATTGAGCCGGCTTAGCTGTTTGAAAGAAAGCTTTTGCCGGTGTTGTCCTACATCCCTAAAAAACATTGCCACGCCACACGGGGTTTGTGCAGTTAAGCTATACTTAGACATGGGTGAGGGTGGATTTAGACATGGGTGGATTTATACATGGGTGGATTTAGACATGGGTGGATTTATACATGGGTGGATTTAGACATGGGTGGATTTATACATTGGTGGATTTAGACATGGGCGAGAGTGGATTTAGACATGGGCGAGAGTGGATTTAGACATGGGTGAGAGTGGATTTAGACATGGGTTAGGGTGGATTTAGACATGGGTTAGGGTGGATTTAGACATGGGTTAGGGTGGATTTATACATGGGTT